AAATATATGGAAACACAAGAGACCACGAATAGCCAAGGCAATGCTCAGTAAAAAGAAAACACTGGAGGTATCACAATACCTGACTTCAAACAATATTACAAAGCAATAACAATAAAAACAGTATGGTACTGGCACAAAAACAGACATGAAAGACCAGTGGAACAGAATAGAGGACCAGATATGAAGCCACACAACTATAACCAACTTATCTTTGACAAAGGTGCTAAAAATATACAATGGAGAAATAGCAGCCTCTTCAACAAAAACTGCTGGGAAAACTGGTTAGCAGTCTGCAAAAGACTGGAACTAGATCCATGTATATCACCCTATACCAAGATTAACTCAAAATGGATCAAGGATCTTAATATCAGACCCAAACTCTAAAGTTGATACAGAAAGAGTAGGAAATACTCTGGAGTTAGTAGGTATAGGTAAGAACTTTCTCAATGAAACCCCAGCAGCACAGCAACTAAGAGATAGCATAGATAAATGGGACTCATAAAACTAAAAAGCTTCTGTCATCAAAAGAAATGGTCTCTAAACTGAAGAGAACACCCACAGAGTGGGAGAAAATATTTTCCAGCTACACATCAGACAAAGGACTGATAACCAGAATATATAGGGAACTTAAAAAACTAAATTCTCCCAAAATTAATGAACCAATAAAGAAATGGGCAAGTGAACTAAACAGAACTTTCTCAAAAGAAGAAATTCAAATGGCCAAAAAACACATGAAAAAATGCTCACCATCTCTAGCAATAAAGGAAATGCAAATTAAAACCACACTAAGATTCCACCTCACCCCTGTTAGAATAGCCATCATCAGCAACACCACCACAACAGGTGTTGGCGAGGATGCGGGGAAAAAGGAACCCTCTTACACTGTTGGTGGGAATGTAACTAGTACAACCACTCTGGAAAAAAATTTGGAGGCTACTTAAAAAGCTAACATAGATCTACCATTTGATCCAGCAATACCACTCTTGGGGATATACCCAAAAGACTGGTTGAGGCACCTGTGTTTATTGCGGCACTATTCACAATAGCCAAGTTATGGAAACAGCCAAGATGCCCCACTACTGAATGGATTAAGAAAATGTGGTATCTATACACAATGGAATTTTATGCAGCCATGAAGAAGAATGAAATGTTATCATTCGCTGGTAAATGGATGGAATTGGAGAACATCATTCTGAGTGAGGTTAGCCTGGCCCAAAAGACCAAAAATCGTATGTTCTCCCTCATATGTGGACATTAGATCAAGGGCAAACACAACAAGGGGATTGGACTTTGATCACATGATAAAGAGAGCACACAAGGGAGGGGTGAGGATAGGTAAGACACCTAAAAAACTAGCTAGCATTTGTTGCCCTTCAATGCAGAGAAACTAAAGCAGATACCTTAAAGCAACTGAGGCCAATAGGAAAAGGGGACCAGGAACTAGAGAAAAGGTTAGATCAAAGAATTAACCTAGAAGGTAACACACATGCACAGGAAATCAATGTGAGTCAACTCCCTGTATAGCTATCCTTATCTCAACCAGCAAAAACCCTTGTCCTTCCTATTATTGCTTATACTCTCTCTACAACAAAATTAGAGATAAGGGCAAAATAGTTTCTGCTGGGTAGAGGGGGGGGGGAGGGGGAGAGGGGGGTGGTAAGGGAGGGGGTGGGGGAAGGGGGGAGAAATGACCCAAACATTGTATGCACATATGAATAAAGGAAAAATAAATAAATAAAAAATAAATAAATACAAAAATGAATAAACAAAATGCACACAAAAGGAGTAACAATTTGATTGGCAGACTTTTTTTTAATCTGGAACAAAAATAGTAAAACAATGGATTAATATATTGAAATGTCATTTTAGAATTAAGAATGAGTATTTAAGCTAGGTGCTGGTGACTCTTGCCTGTAATCCAGCTACTCAGGAGGCAGAGATCAGGAGGATCAAGGTGCAAAGGCAGATTGGGCAGTTACTGAAACCGCATCTCTAAAATAGTCAATACAAAAAAGGGCTGGAGGAGTGGCTCAAGCAGTAGAGTGCATGTCTAGCAAAAGTGAGGCCCTGAGTTCAAGGTCCAGTACAGCCAAAATAAGCAAACAAATAAATAAAATTAAAAAAGAATGAGTATTTAGCTGATGGTGTTGGTGCATGCCTGGGATACCATTACTCAGGAAAGAAAAGCAGGAGGATCATGAGTTCAAGGTCAGCCTGGGCTATATAGCAAGACCTTATCTCAAAAACAAGAGTATGGAATAAAAACATGTTTCAGGCATGTAAACTGAGAGATTATCACACAACACATGTAAAAACACATGTTTATACTTACAGAATCAAGATGGTTTACTACAGATAGGATACAGTAGAAATAACTATTAAAAATGAGGAATATTGAGGATGACTTAGGGAGTGTAAAAACAAAAATACAAGAAAGAATTGGTAAGGTATGGTGATAAATTTTATTGACATTTTGAAATGAAATGATCTTATTGACTACAGTTTTACAAGTAACATTTTATTTTCTTCATAGAAATGGAGCAAATGTGGTATTAACAATTTAATATTACAAGTTCGGCTTGCATGAGAAAAAAAACCTCTGGTCAGAATTTGAAAGGTATAAAATAATATGGAAGAGAAGTAATGGAAACATTTTCCATCCATGCATTGAAATCACCAGATGAACAGATTTAAAAAGAAGTATATACTTAGGCATGCTGATAATCTACACAAAACTCATTCAAAAGTGAGAACTAGATGGACTAGAGGACAGCGTCTCAGAAGGTGAAGAGATCGCTATGAAGAAACACTATAAATCACGTACAGTAATATCATACAAGGAGATGCCCGAGAGCAGTTAGAAACACCAGGGAGGAGATAAGTCATGGCTAAAAGTCTTCATGAATGCATGGAAAGCATACAAGGAACTCACAACATAAGAAATGGTGTGATTTATTGGTTTGGGGAGAAACAGGAAGGGCAGCGATATGAAGTTGGAGAAACAGTGGATTTTTAAGAGAAAATAGCTGATGCAAAACAAAGGGGGATGATGGAACGCCTTGAGAATGAGTTTATGAAGTCCAGAAATCTCAAAGTACATTTTCTGGTCTCCTTAGGAAATATTTGATTTCAAAGACAGGAGGTAGAATGTTTTCCTTATCTGCTACCATTGGAAGTGTGCATGGAAAACACAATTGCCTGCACACAATTCCAGGTTGCTGGATGCTCCATGTGAAGGTCTCTGAGAATCACACAGGGCCTCCAGGAAAGTGGCCAGAGTTGTGTTAGTGTCCGAGCCAGCGGTTCATTCATTCCTGAACAGACAAGAAATTTCACTAACAAATCACAGGAGAAACAAACTGCCACCTCAAACCCAACCTAAATGAAAAATGCAACTGTCCATGGACCCCCAAGGATGATGTTAATACGTAGGAGGTGCATGGAGTCCACCCGGTAGGATCACTAGTACCCCCAGCTAGATTGGGAAGGAATCCTGGAGCAGTTCATTCATTTCTAGAACAGGCAAGAAATTCTGCTCAAAAGTCACGGAGAAACAAACTGAAATCTCCAACCAAACCAAAACGAGAAACGCAGCTGCTCAGTGTCTCTGAATGACGACGTCAGTATCTAGGTGGTGCATGAAGATCAACCCTGTAGATACCAGACAGCGAGCAACTGTGGAATGGTTCATGCATTCCAGGAGCAGGCAAGAAATCTGAAAAAAAAAAAAAATTAGAGGAGAAACAAACTCGAACCTCAAACCAACCCCGATGGAGTTGCCCAGTGTCCGCGAATGTAGATGTCACACCTCGGGGCGGTGCTCGGGACATACCTGCGACATCACGAGATGGCGAGGAATCGCGGGGCGCTCCACTCACTCCTGGAACAGGCGTCTGCGGGCCTTGCAGGCAGGGCGGGGAGGGCGCCGAGGGCGCGCGTGGGGACCCGGGCTCCTGCGTGGGCTCGGAGAGGGAGGCAGAGGCTGCAGCGGTGAGCCTGGGAAGGGCCTCGGAAGGTCGAAGATGGAGTGCCAAGGGCCTCCGTCTGGGTCGTCGCTGGACGATGGCATCGGGCCCAGGCACCAGGGGCTGGACAGCCTTGCGCTCAGGACGCCGGGGTCCCAGTCCTCTTCGTAGGCCGGTCGTTGGGCGGCGGCCGGGTAGAAGAAGCCGTGCTGGACGCCGCCGTCCTCCATGGGAGCGCCCGCGAAGGCGCCCAGCTCCAGGCCATCGGGCCAGTGTCCCTGCGCTCCCAGGTGCTGCTCGGCGAAGTCCAGGAGGCCCTCAGGGACGACGATGAGCTTGTGTCCCTGCAGCGCGACGGTGAGGACGTTGGCGGGCCCGGGCTCCAGCACCAGGTCGACGTGGCCCAGGGGCACCTGCAGGGCGCAGCCGGCGGCCAGGACCACCAGGGAGGTGGCGGGGTGTTGCAGGGCGAGCAGCGGGCCGGGGTCGGGGCCGGCGGGCTGGTCCAGTCGGGGGCGCTTGGCAGGGCTGGGCCCTGCGGGCTGCGGTGCCCACCCGGGCTCAGGGTGGGCGCTGGGGCTGCGGGGCCGGATGCCCACCATGTGGACGCGTGCGGGCTCCCGGGGCCTGGCGACGCGGTGGGTCGTGCACGGGTGACCGGCAGGTGCGGCTGCCAGGTGAGGCGGGCTGGGGGATCTGGGGGACCTGAGTCCTGTCTTCTGAGGCGTCCTGGGCTCCCGCTGGGCTCGGGCTCGCGCCTTGGAATCTTGGGCCTTCTTCACGCAGACCTCCACAAGCACTGGACGCCAATTCTGTTGCTAGTGACGTAGCGGAACGCCGTAGGGAAGTGTCAGGCTAAGCCCCGCCCCCTCGAGTCTCCGCCCCCATCGGCGGCTCTGATTGGTGGGTTACTGAGCGAACTACTTTCATAGGCCTCTAGGTGGCTGAGCAAGTGTGTTTTCTAGCGCTTGACTTCCGGACGCCAATTGCAATGGTTTGTGTGGAAAGGAAGTGTCACCCTAGGCTCCGACCCCTGGAGGTTTGCCTTTGACTAAAAGGCATTGTGATTGGTTGATGACTGTCAGGATGTACTTTTATGGCCTATAGGGTTGAAAGGATTTGCATAGCTTATTTTTAGAGAAAAAATTATAGGCCAGACCTATCATGGCTGACCTTTAGATTGATTTTATGTTTCTCAATGGTTTCAGGGACTCCAGAAAAAAGATCACTCAAAAAGATTCCTCCCTCCACATTTACCCACTTAAATGGCACTTGGAATTTCTTTAGTGTTTGTTAAATCATTTCATTTTTCTCTTTTTGAGATAGGGTCTCACTGTGTAACCCAAGCTGGGTTTGAGTTTGCTGTGCAGCCCAGACTCGCCTCCAACTGGAGATTTCCTGCCTCAGCCCAGAACCATCATGGTTGTGCCAGTGTTAATCTTAGCTTTCTTGAGGCGAAGATCCTGTTGGAAAAAAAAAAGAGTCAGTGGAAAATACAGATTTCTTTCTCCAGCTCCAGGAGAAGTGCTTTAAAAATACTAAAGAGAAACGTTTGTGGTAATTTTTTCCTGAAGTTTCAGACTTGTAATGATAATTATAACATTAAAAATTAAGAAAATGTCAATATAATTACAAATTTTGATTGAGCATTTGTATGTCCATCATTTGACCAAGTATTTAATTTTTTTTCAATCCTCACAACAGTTGAGACTTTGAGTGGTAAAGTCCATATTCTGAAATTATATACATAGTTTGTATTGGATGTGGAAATCAAGTGCGGACATATCTGATTTTAAATCAAGGACACTTTCTGTATGTATACATATATGTTACACACAGGAGTCGCCATTGGTAAGGTATGTGCCATTTAAATTAAAATGGTTCTTCCCGTTTATATTCCTGTGTGCCAAATGTGTTTCAATTTCACGACACCCTTACATTTTTCATAGTCAGATTCTTAAATCTTTTCCAACCTCTTATGGTATTTTGTGTTTTTACTTTTCATTTCTGATTACTTAGGAAGTAGATAATTTTTCATATGCTTATTGGCCATTCTTATATCTTCCTTTTTGAAATATTCCTATCAGCTATTTTTTGTTTTAAAAAATTGAATATCAAAATATTGTATGCCATTTATTTATCAGACATATGTATAGCATATGTCTCTATCACTTTCCCATAGTCTTCAATGATTTTAACACCTAATTCCCTGTTATACTCATCAGTTCTACTGGCATACCTTGTGATGATTTTAATATTCTCATAGACTTTCCTGGAATCCTGGCCTTAGTTCTCTTTCCCTTCAACAATTTTATCCTCCCTCCTATTCACTGATTCATACTCGCCTTTGTAATTATCCCAAGTTGCAATCCTCTTATAAACTCTCTTGACTTAAATCCCTCCAGTTTTGGCACTATTTTTCTTCTTTATATATGAAACTCTTGTATTAGTCAACTGTACTTGCATTCCTTACCCCCCCATCTTTTTTTTTTCTTTTTTTTTTGGTGATACTGTGGTTTTAACTCAGGGCTTCATGCTTGCTAGACAGCTAAGCTTCCATTTGAGCCACTCCACCAGCTGTTTTTTGCCTTCCTTATTTTCAAGATAGGGTATTGTGAACTATTTGCCCAGGCTGACTTTGAATAGTGATACCTCTGATCACTGCCTCCTGAGTAGCTAGGATTACAGGTATGAGCCACCAGCACCAGCCTCCCCCACATCTTGAACCCCCATCTGTCCACACCAGTCATCTACAAGCATTCTTATCAAGGTCACCAGTGACTACAACATTATTAAATCTGATGATTAATTCTCAGTCCTCATTTTGAATTATAAGCAACACCTGACAATCAATAACTCCACTTTAAAGATTTCCCTCCCTTAGCTTCTAAGGTCTTAAACTCTCCCAAACTGTCTCTCTGGCTTCTTATTTCCTTTGCTGTTTTATCTTCTTCTGAAGGTTGGAATATCTAAGGAACCAGTTCTTTGGCTTCTTTGCTTTTTTCTATCAACTTTTATACTCTTATTTTAAGTGCATCTGTATGTTATTGTCTCCCTCCTGTACCTCTCCTTTGAACATTTGACCGCATTGTCAGCTTTTTCACCTGGATATCTATTAAGTTCAAGCATATGCAATTTTCATTTTTGTAGATTAGAATGGTTGAATAGTGCTAATTTTATATATTTTTGTCAAATAATACACAGTTCAAACTTCAGGTCCTTATCTGAGCTCTTCATATGTCCATCAAACTAATTCTCTTAAAGAGTTCCCCATCAATTGGACTATGAGCACATGATAAAAGTGAGAGCACACAAGGGAGGGGTGAGGATAGGTAAGACACCTAAAAAATTAGCTAGCATTTGTTGCCCTCAATGCAGAGAAACTAAAGCAGATACCTTAAAAGCAACTGAGGCCAATAGGAAAAGGGGAACAGGAACTAGAGAAAAGGTGAGATCAAAAAGAATTAACCTAGAAGGTAACACGCACGCACAGGAAATCAATGTGAGTCAATGCCCTGTATAGCTATCCTTACCTCAACCAGCAAAAACCCTTGTTCCTTCCTATTATTGCTTATACTCTCTCTTCAACAAAATTAGAAATAAAGGCAAAATAGTTTCTGCTGGGTATTGAGGGAGTGGGGGGGAGAGGGAGGGGGTGGAGTGGGTGATAAGGGAGGGGGTGGGGGCAGGGGGGTGAAATGACCCAAGCCTTGTATGCACATATGAATAATAAAAGAAAAAAAAAAGAGTTCCCCATCACAGTGTTTGTAACTTCATCCTTCCTGTTGTTCAAACCAAAACCTTGGGATTATCCTTGACTATGTTCCTTACACATTCTGTATCCTCTCTATCAGGTACCCTAGATCATACCAGTCTTACCATCCCTCTTGCTGCTAGTTTCACCTCTTTAGTGAATTATTGTAGAAGCTCCAAAAGTGGTCTCCTTGCTGGTCTCCACAGAGGAGCTAGAGAGGTACTACTGAACCATGATTAGTTCATGCCACTCTGCTTAGACATGTCCAGTTTCACTTGGGGGAAAAAAACTAATGCTTTCTTAATGGGCCTAGAGGCTTCTGTATGGGCCTCTTGCTCACCCTCCATTATCTGCCGGATTGCACCTTCTATCACTTTTACCTGTTCCTTCTGTTACAGCTCCATGGTCTCTATGACATTCTTAAAAATCAACAGGCATACAAAGATTTTGCCACTGCTCTTGAAGCACTCTACATTCTCACTTTTTTTTAATTTGGGTCTTCTCCTAATGTTATTAATTTGGGTTCTTTTTTGGTTAAAAAAGATTTGTTACCAATCTTTTTTAGCTTTTCAAAGCACCAATTCTTTGTTTCATTGTGTTTTGCTTTTTTTTTTTTCAGTTGTCATTTAATTAATTTCACCACTGATCTTTTTTTTCTTTCCTTATACAAATTTTGGGTTTGAATTTTTCTTACTTTTCTAAGGCTCTGAGGTGCATCATTGGGTTATTTATTTGAGGTCTCTGACTATTTAATGTAGGCATGCATAGCTATAAATGTCCCTCTTAGTACTGTCTTTACTGTATTCCACATATTCTCATAACCAGTGTTTTGACTTTCATTTGATTCTAGGAATTTTGAACTTTCTTCCCTGAGTTCTTCTGTATCAGCCAAAAGCATATTATTTAAATTTCAAATGTTTGTGCATTTTCTGTAGTTTCTCATGCTGTTGATTTCTAGTCTTTATGATCTGATAAGATGTGAAAAATGATTTTTTTTTGTATTTGGTAAGATTTGTTTTATGGCCTAAAGTGTGATCTGTTTTGGAGACAATTCCATGTTTGCTGAGAAGAGTGTATTATCCCTAGCTGTTGGATGGAATATTCTGTAGATGTCTGCTAAATCCATTTGATCTATTGTGCAGTTTGACTGTGAAAGGTTTTGATAATTTTTTTTCTATCTGTTAATGAGAATGGGGTATTGAAATCTCCCCATTATTATTGTTTCTGGATTTATTTGTCTTGTTATATCCACTAATGTTTACTTTATGAAACTGGGCATATTGGCATTTGATGCATATATATATTTATAATCATTATATCTTCTTGATGTATTCTTCCTTTTATTTATATTTAGTGACCTTCTTTAACTCTTCTGAATAATTTTAGCTTGGTGTCTGTTTTGTCAGAAAAGAGCATAGTTACTCCTGCTTTATTTTGGATTCCATTTGCTTATATTATCATTTTCCATATTTTCATTTTAATTTCTTGTATGTGTGTTGGAATGCGACATGTGTTTCTTGCAGACAACAAACAGTTGAATCTTGTGTTTTTGAAACAAGTATGTGTTTTTTAATCAGAGTGAAAATTACAGTTAACTCTCTACATTACAGTTGTTATTGAGAAGTATTTGCTGTTTCCTGTGATTTTGTTACTATTGTTTTATTACCTTATTGAGTCAAGTATTCTGTGTTTTTTTTCTCTCTTAATCCTCGTAGGAGTTGGCAGGTTTATTGAGTTGGTCATATTTGATTCTGTCTGAATTCTCCCATTCAAGTACTAACCAGGCCCAACCCTGCTTAACTTCCAAGATCAGACAAGATCTGGGATATTCAGGGTGGTATGGCAGTA